GGATATGAGATGATTATAGCCAACGAGGCGCGTAGCGCCTCGTTGGCTATCTATCATCTCATATCCAACGCGCGCTTGCGGAATAATTGTTAAATATTTCTAAAAAAGAATTAGAGTACCCTCATGTGGGCTCAGTTTTTTTGAGACCTCACCCTATTTCCTTTGTGATACTTTCGATCTGCTCATACGAGGCGGAGTGTTACTTGGCCCTCTTGATATCAGTTGTCGTGTTGGCGTTATCCACACGTTGACTAGTCTTCTTCGCAGCCGTTTTTAGGCTCGTCACGCAACGCTCCTCCCCACTAAGGAGGAGAAGGAGCGTTGCGTGACGAGCCTAAAAACGGCTGCGAAGGAGACTACATGTTGACAAACCGAGTTTAGTTTTCTCACCAGTTGATATCCGGCTGAATTTCCCAATTGAACAAATAAACAAAAATGATCGTTATTAACACTACCTGAACTTCAGTTACACCGCAGATAAATTGACCGTAGTATAAGGAATAGATAAAGTGCATTGCTTTGCCATGCCTCGCCTTACTCTTGCTGTTGTTTTAGAATCACTTATTTGGCAAAAAATCGGCGAGGCAAAGAAGATGAAACGTTCCTGATATTTATCCTCGTCTGGCAGACTTACCAAGTGGTGTAAATAAGATTAAAATTTGTTGAGGGCTTAGGGTGTCTATGAATACTTTTACGAGGATTTCTACTCGTAAAAGTTATTCGAAATTAAGCCATACTGACGTCCTTTGATCAAAAGAGCCTATCGAGATAGTAAAAAACCCAAATAAAATATTCTTTTAAAAAAATGTTAGAAAAAACATGAAACGAATGTGCACAACGCATGGCTGGTTTAAATCCTATTTTTCTCGATGCCGCAAACATTTTCCGGCAAACTATATTCTGTCCCAGTATAACGTTCGCAATTCACTCATGGCTTAAAATATCTGAAAAACACTTGAACCAATATCTTTCATTGGGAATGACTCATTAACTGAAACCGCAAGCCAGATAAGAATGATATTCATCCACTTCATCACCTGGGCGACTTATTGTTGTGACAAAAAGTGTTTTTTTTGCTCTGTTATCTTTTCTCTCTATGATCTTCTCCTACCGAATAACAAGTCCCTAAAATTAGGCGTTTCTGAATCCTGAGTGTCATGCTACCGGAAGTTATATTTCAGTCAATCACTTAATGGAGAGCTCTCCTTTTCAACGAGTCACTTTTGAATTCAAAATAACCCAGAACAAAGAGGCCGTTCTAAATAAGATCAATATACTGTGATGATGGATCATTGACTTATTTACTGATAAGATTTTTCGTGAATGTTTTGGTTTAGCAGAGCCGAAGGAGAATCAAAACTAGTTTAGAAAATTCCAGGAGATGGCCTGCAGAGAATGGCGATTTGACCAATTTTTTGTTTGTCTTCGAAAAAAAAAAATTCCGTTATGGCACAAATTGCCATTTTTGGTAGTGTCTTCGATAACACACTCTTGTAAGGTCAGGAAAATAAAGAAGCACGATACTCTTGGAATGAAAGATCATTTCCGAAGTAAAGCAGTTTACTCAATGATTGGAGGATCATCCATTGTCATTGATCATAACTGCTGCCTCATTAATTGTCAGTAGAAATAACCATGACGTGAATTGCGAAATTGGTAGGGAAATATGATGCATGGGAGGGGTCTCTTTATCAGGTGACTCAGTGGGAGAATACGGAAATACATCAAAGGGCACTTTCGGAAGAGGAAGTAAAGGTCGTCTGTTACGGACGGTTCTATCGAGAACCGCCATTTTGCAAAGTAAGCTGGCCCCTTGGGTCACGTGACTAAACACCCCTATTACTCAGTTTCATCCATTTCGAACTTCAGCCATGTTTGAAAGTAATGTCAACAGAGGTTCGGTTTGTAAAAATTCATTGGGCGAAGCAAACTTGTAATTTGCCTCAATTTAAATGCATTTGGCTGGAGAAGGAATGATTTCTGCTTCTGGTGGATAGTCTTGTGTTTTAAAGAGCTTTGGCTGCGAGCATCATGGACGAACGAAAGAGGAGAGAAAATCTCGAGACTTACGTTCGAGATCCTCGGAATGAACTGTACATTGAGGGGCTTTTGGTGAGTTAATGGCTGCTTTATATAAATGTCGTACTGTCAGGCGACTCAAGTTTTTATTTTGCCTTGTTTTGTTAGGATGGAATTCAGTCGCTGGTGTGCGATTGTGATTTTCCAGCCCTTAGACGCAACAAGAATGTCGAAAACTTCCTACAAAGATGTGAGTAGTTTTGGCTTCCTAATATTTGCTTATGGTTTTTTAGAGGCATATACTAAGATTGTTTTAATTGTTTTTCAGACGAGAAACCTAGTAAAGTAATCGAAGAATGTCGTATGAATGCAAGCGACTTCAAGGTCGTAAAAGTCATCGGCCGTGGTGCTTTTGGTGAAGTTCAGTTGGTAGGTTACTTACCATGTACTTTCGAGCTTATGATGGATATATATTCCTCATAAGAGTAAACGTTGCCATTAGTTGTTGACTAGTTTCTTAACTTTTTAATTGCGAAGTACATTTACGAGTTCTGCCTCTTGATATACGCAATTTCCTATGCTAATGCGATAGCAGAAGAATTACTAAGAGCTGCACGAGAGATGTGAATACTTGAATCGGTACCGTGCTGTCAAATACGGGCTTTATCATTCGAGCTGTTTCGTTTCTTGTTTAAATAGAAACCTAATGTTGTATTCTGTACACTTTTCAGGTGAGGCATAAAGCATCGAAAAAAGTGTATGCGATGAAACTTTTAAGCAAATTTGAAATGGTAAGCTAGTTAGACATCTAGTCGATTAATTTAAAGTACTACAGGTATCCTCTTCAAACTTTTGTTTGTATAGTTAGGGTTTAGCCAGCTAAAAAATTGTAGGCAGCAGATAGTTTTTGCGGCAAGGAAAAACAACAAAAATTTTCAGTTAAAAAAATTACTGCATTAATTTGGAGACACTTGAATACATTGCGTCAACACTACATCTACAAACTTTTAATCTAAGGTCAGTCAACAGTTCGAAGTTGTACAAATTGTAAATTATCACTTATTGTTTCTAACATTCTTCGTGGATATGAGAGTTTAATTCTTAACGTGTGCCCTATCTTCGAGGTCATTTGTTCCTTTTTTTAATTGTGGCTTTCTTCTCAAGCCGTTGCCAATTGTGACTCTCGCTGTTGGATTTTTTTCATTTCCTTGCACTCATTTCTGAATGTACATAGAAGCCAAAGCATTTGTTTCCTTCCAGGACTCCGGCAGCTGAACTGTTTTTTCCTGCTAGATTCTTGACAAATCTCCCTTGTAGAAACCGTAGATTCATTGTTTGAGGTTTAACATGGACATTGACATGCACAAAGTTACAAACAAATTAGCGACAAAATCACACTTGGTTTAATTCCTTAAATACCTTGGATAAATTGGCAATGTTGATTTATACTTATTTATTGTTGACTTTGCGGCCGTGTTCTCACCAAATTAAGCTTTAGTCATGTATGTAGCCTTCTTTTCTTTCCAATGTTGCTTAATTAATTTCCAGCCTTTTACAGTGACTCTCATTCACTGTAAGGGTTTGAAATACAGTATACATAATCATACAAAGGAAAGATAAACTTTAATAGCTAGCTCACTTGTTCTGTTCAGTAATGTTTTGTTAGTGCACCAAGCACGTGTTCTTCATTGCAAATCAAACTGTCATTCTTTGTATTTCTCAAGGACCATTTATCATAAATCTTTAATGGCGACTTGCATGTTTTTCTAAACAATGATAAAACTCAAGAGCAATCTAAGTTACGCAAGATGTAGAGTTCACCTTCCTTGCTCCTTTAAAAAAGGTTCAGGAATGCAACTATGACAATCAACAGGTTACTTTGGAAAACTATTAATTAAAATACAATTTGCTGAACCTTAAAAAACTTTGGCTTCTTTCATACAGAGTTTGTGCATAAAGGTTTTTTTCTGGCTTAGTTTTTGTATAGCTGTGTTTTTTTCCCCAAACAGATTAAAAGATCTGATTCAGCTTTTTTTTGGGAAGAGCGTGAAATTATGGCTCATACTATCAGCCCATGGATTGTTAAGGTTAGTGTACACACATCTACTTACACTCGAATACTCATTTGGTAAAATCTGGAAAGGTTTTATCATTTGAAAAGTCTATGAGAAGCATGTGAACTATGTTTTCCCTATACACTCAGTTTTCACATGCTTTACATCCTTTTCTTGAATCCTGCACGCACTTTTGCATGTGCATTAAAGCCTTGAGAGTGATTTGTCTCTCAAGATCTTTAACTTTGGACTCCCTTTGGGATGCCTCAGGAATGATCTTTTTTCAGTTGTAAATTGGAAGAGATACATTGCATTTTTTATTTTGTCAAAAATAAAATGGAATTAAATGGAACTGATGCTGAATGCAAATTTTTTTCCTCTAATTTTCCAAACAAACATCGAGCAATGACATTCCTGATAACAGTGCATTATAACTTTTGATAAAAATGTTTCGGACTCTTGCTTAAGAGTGCCCAATGTAAAATCAAGTCTAATTGAAACTGATTCAACTTGCCAGCTCTCTATCTGGTACATATTCAAATTTTGTTTTAAAGATTCTTTAACTTGTCTTAAAATTTAACCAACTTGTGAACTTATTTTTTTATCCATTTATTTTTTTGTAGTTACATTTTGCTTTTCAAGATGCAAAAAATTTATATATGGTTATGGATTACATGGCCGGTGAGTGAAGCATACTGTTGTTGTTATAAGTTATGTTGGTACTTCCTGAGCTTGAGTGTTAACATCCATGGTATCTATTGGCACTCTACACTGGTCTGTTTATGTTTGAAAGGGAATTCAAGTTAAGAATTTTTCATGTCTATGAAAAGACTTTCAAAAATGATGATGAATGAGAAAGACTTCTTTCAAAGAAAATGATAGGCCAAATGCCAAAATCTTAGATTTAGCCAGAAAAATGTCAGACAAGTGATAGTAAAACTGCATTCAATAAACTAATTTACAGACAAATGTATTACAGTTTGAAGGAGAAGGAGAATTAACAATTAAGATCTAAGGAGTTGATAGTTAAATGGTATTCTAGTGGAGATGTCTGCCTTCTGAGGCTTGATTTATGAATGATGAATTTTGTGGTAATAATTTTGAAATTAAAAAAAAAAAAAAGATTTGTATTGTCTGATGAAGAGTTTATGATGAAGAAACATGCTATCTGTGTAGGAGGAGACTTGGTGAATCTTATGAGTAACTACGACATTCCTGAAAAGTGGGCCAAGTTCTATGGCGCTGAAGTGGTGTTAGCACTTGATGCTATTCACAGCATGGGATTTATTCACAGGTATTGTAAGAAGGTTTGATCATTGTTGTTCAGTGTCAAAAAATTCATAATGGCAAAATACAGTAACATACCTCAATGAATTAGCTTTATCATATACACTCATTCACACCCATTTCTTCAGGAGGATAACTGTGTACCCATGATGGAAAAGCATTCCATCCAAAGGGATTAGCTGTACTTTTAGTACTTTTTCATTCTGTGAAAACTGTGTGACCATACATGATTAACCCTTTGCACCCTGGCATGTTCTCCATACTATTCTGTATACATTTCCTAACATACTGACATGGAGAATTTGTCAAATAATCAAGAGCTTGTTAGTTGGTGATAATATAGGAAAATTCATTACTTGACGAGGGAATTC